GCGCCAAATAGGCTAGGACCGCCCCTGCCCCCGGGTATGGAATGTGCTCAATACATGAATTGGCCTAAAAGTAGCAGAACAGTAGCTAAAGTTAGCATAAGAAGACAATAAGTAGAGCAAGTATGCTAAAGCAGATTATGGACAAATTTATTTATTTTTTAAGAAATTCAAGAGGTTGCAGAGTATTTAAATAAACTTAAATGAGACAAATCTTGCAAAATCCACTTTCTCTGGCTCCAACGTATAGGCTGGATGGACGAGTCTGTTGTTGACATCTTTTAATTAATTTGTAAATCAAAAGTTTCTGCCCTGCTATACAGATGTAAGCCCCTCTGTCAAGCTAGAATGAACTGGTCTGGAAGCTGGATGGGGCGGGGTTTAAAGAGACAGCCTCAAAACGAGTTGATCTGAGACACACCTCAGAAAAGGGGTGAAAGAGGGGTTTGTGAAGTAGCAATAAAGAGGAGTTTAGACCAGAGCATTACAGTTTATATAGACCCAACTGAATGATTTAAAAGTTAAAAAGGATTTAAAAGCGCAAGATGTCTCCCTAAAATATTTACAAAAGCATAAAAGTTACTAAAAGCAAAAGTCATCTGACTGAGCTGAACATTTTGAGGTATGAATGGTTAAAGTAGCTCAAAGTATTGGGGGTGTAACAATACATTGATGTATTGATTAATGATTCAAATAAGGTAAATCGTAGACTTCTGAAGTGAAATCAAATTCGTAGCATGACACTGATACAGAAACATTGTATTGCCATCCGAACAAATCAACAAATCTGGTGATTTACACGCCTACAATGTATATAGGTAGCAGGAAAACGTATAAAAAATAAAGACATCTTCACTTAGTTTGGGGTATTTATATTATTTATCTGCGTCAGGATTCCAGATGAATCATTTTTTTATTTGAAAACTTGCTGCAAAACCCTGAAGTCAGTCAGTAAATGTAAATGTTTGCTTGACAGGAAACAGAGTCAAGCATAAAAGTCAAAATTACACAAACATAGTATTGATATTGTCCATGTGCCTGTGTGTTTGTACGACCTGACAGTTGAGATGGCTGTAAATCCCAGCTGTTTCCAGCTTGTACAAAACATCACAGTGGTTCACTCCTGACGTGTCAGCAGAGACGATGTTAAACATCTCATACGGAGGAATCAGCACTTCCTCCTCATCAGAGTCCAGCTCTGAGTAGGACTTCAGGTAAGCCCCGTAACACGTGTGTATTTCAAAGCACGTCTTCTCTCCAAAATGCCTCAGCTCCCTGTTCAGAGAACTGGAAGCAAAGGAGCCAAAGCGCATGTTCTGACCAGGTTTCCCGGTGAACAACAGTTTGCTTCTTCTGAAGCTCGTGTAGCAGCTCCTTTGGTTGACTTTCAGCAGCCTGATGGCATCAGAGAGCAGGAAGTGCAGAGCATGAAATTCAAAAGAAGTCCTGTAGGAGTCCTTCCCTCCGCGAACGGCTCGGTTCAGGTCGGCGTAGGACCCTGCTGTGTAGGCACACAGGGCCCTGAAGTGATCCAAGGACAGCTGGTCGTAGAAATCCTTGTTGTGCATGGCTCTGAGAGCACAAAGCTCGGTGAATGTGGTGTGCAGACCTTCCCTGGTGCTCCTTGGTAAGTAGTGACGCTTCACCTTGATGAGCATCCTGTCAGAGCAGCCATGGTACATGTCATCAACAGAGTCAGGAGAGACACTCAAAGGGATCTGGACGAGCTGCTGGAACAGAGCAGAGGCGGGCTGAACCGGGCCTCTGGAGGAATTCAGCGAAAGACCGTTGGGTTTCTGCACAGCAGGCTGGACTGAGACGGTTGCAGACTTTACAGGATCTTCAGAGGTTAAATGTTTCGATCCACGTGGCAAGGACATCTTGAAGTCCATGCGTTGGACATCAGAGGCGTCTACAGGGACGGTCTCCTGCTCAGGCAACTGTAGAAGAAGAATTAGGTTACAAAAGCATCTTAAGCAGGAAGAAATGTGCTGTTTCCAGTAAAGTCAGGACCTGTTTCTGTTTAAATTTTAGCAGCTGTGAGTCAATAACACATACTGGGATGTGACAATTTGCACGAGATAGCACCTAATGGTATTTTCTAAATTTAAATAAAACAGCTGCTACCTTCTCATCGAAATATGGTTTGAAAGTAAATTTATTCTTACACCTTATGTAATCTTATACCGTTGGAAAGCCTGTTCATTTCTCTTTTACGTGGTGCCACATTTGTAAGGAGCATGCATCTGTGGGATGAGCAGTAGAGCTGAGTATGTGGGTTGCACACATGAATCTTCTCGGTCAAAAAGCGTATATTGCTGTTATTGTCACTTGTTTTGAGCCTCTGGTACCTCAAAGCGTTGCAAATCAGCTGCCCGCTATAAGATTTATTGCCAAGAAGCATTGTTACAACAGAAATAATCTACAAAGTACAAATAAAATATAAATGTACAAATTGGCAAAGGGGTATTTTCAAAATCCAGCAGGATACTTCAAGTTTTAACACGAGCAATTACTGTTTTTTTTTTGTTTACACTTAATTCACTGAAACTTGAATAAAAAAACATTTCTACATTTTCAGTCATATTTTGATTATTTTAAGTCATTTTCCCCACTCTTTAGAGCAGAGGTTCTCAAATTAGGGTCCCAGGACCCCCAGGGGTCCACGAGCCCTATCTTGGGGGTCCTCAAATATTTTCAGTAAATGGTTATTTTGGATTTTATTTGAAAAATGAACACGAGGAACAATGCACTAGTAAAACAAACATACTAAACCAAAGAAAAACATGATATTCTCATAATATTTAGGGGTTAAAATGACAGTAAATTATTTCTAAAACAGCATGGGGTTTATGAGGGGGTCCCTGGAAACGTTTCACACTTGTAAGGGGTCCTCAGACCCAAAAGGTTTGAGAACCCCTGCTTTAGAGAGCGAGGGAGTTAAATATCAGTACACATCCTAATTAATAATACATCTAAAAATGTAAACATTAATTTTTTTTATCCAGCTGTTGTTCTGCACTATTTTTCTTACAGTTTTTGCATCCAGAGGCTTCACCTCCACAGACAGACAGCAGAGGACAAGAAATACGAACTTCATGTTTGGTGACGCCTATAAAGAGGAAAAACAGTGTTCAAGGTCAACAAAAGGAGCATATTTTTAATCATAAGTGTAATTTAGACCAAAGTCAATTTTTTTCCATACATCTGAGCTATTGGCTTTGTAATCAAACAAAAAAAAGTTTGCTCAAAAGCAAGAAAAAAAACATTAAAACACTTGCTTTAATGTCTATTTCTGGGTGAACCACAGATTAAAACTCTTACCTGGAGTTCCTCTGCCTGTGTTTTAGCTGCCAGTGAGTGTTATTCAGATGATGCAGTCATCTTCTCTTATAAGGTGATGGATGAGTGGGAATCCGTGCCTCAGTTAGAATAAACTTCCCAAAAGTTTATTTTTAGGCACACAGAAAAATGGAAGTCAGAGATGATTAGTCAGATTACTGAAACACTCTTCCAAGTCATCAAGTTCCTGTTGTTACCGTAGTTTGATTCTGTCACGGAAGTCAAAATTTCTGCAAAAAAATATAAGAACTGCTGAAAGACTTATAAAACTACTCAGATTTGAAGAAATTTAAAAGTTTTAGTCTCAGCGTTTGGTTTAAGAAAAGTGTTACTTTTTTTTATTAAGTACCGTAACATATTCCATAAATTTGGAATCCCATTTGTTGTGTGAAAACTGAAACCCTGATTAACATTTTTTCTGAGAAGTAGCATTCTGCTGAAATGTTTCCCTGAAATGCCTTCCAATTTGAACGGAAAGTCCCTTTATTTTTAATTTTCACATTCTCATTTAGAGTTCACATCTACAACTATATTTCTTGTGATGTTAAATATGCTCAATTATTTTGACAGCTGCTTCCATCTCATCTCAACTGGGATCCAAGCTTTTAGTGTTACTTTACTAAGAACCTAAAACAGCAGTAGAAATTTGAGAATGGAAAAAGATTCTGCAAGACTTTCAATTTGCACAAAAAAAGAAAATATTTCACGTAAAGCATATTTGCACACCTACTGAAGGAGCAACATCTGGATTTTTTTTAAATGTCAAGTATTTTGCCCTTGGTTTTCAAAATAAAGCCATTAAAGCTCAATTTGAGACTAGTGGAATAAAAGGTGCAGACTTGTTTATTTTTAATAAAGCTGCTTTAAGTACTTTTGAGTTGCATCTGTGACAACCTGATTTTAAATTGACTCGATTGATCTTGTCCTTTAAATTGTTAATTCGACTTTGAAAAGAAACTTTTCCTTCACCCACTTATCTGCCTCATGTGAGCTGGTTCCCATCTCAAGCAGTCACTGTACAAGAGGTGCAAGTCCATCAGAGTCAAATTTTCACATCTTGGGACTATTTAAAAAGTTGCTGGTTAAACAGGTTTGTCTGCTGGAGGAAACTGGGAGTACCCAGAGAAAACCCACCGGTGCACAATGAAAACATGAGAAGCAACAGCTCTAACCACTGAGTCGCCAGTGTTCAATCCTTAAATACTGACTCTAAACATTTGACATTTTATGTTGCGAAGGAGGACAAAGAGTGAAGGTATGACATGACAAAATTAACAGCAAAAGTGTTTGTGCCACAAGTATTTCACATTTTAACCAAAATGTTTAACAGAACATGCCAGATTCTTTGTTCTCTGCAGGTAAGACATGAAACGAGGACAAAAAGATTAATTGCATATCAAATAATTCTTTATTTCATTTAGTTGCATTTAAAAATGTACATTTACTGTGTGCTGCTTAAAACTGATATTTTCAGCCTGTGAAATTCACACTAATCAAGTTTCCTGTTAAACATGAATATATCAAAAATACAACATTAAAATTTGAAGGTAGTCTGACCATCGTCAACCAGAAATGCATTTGGTTGAGAGTCGACCGGAACCTAATCAGCGTCATCCTAGAAGGGGGAAGAAAAATAAATAAAACTACCAAAAAAAAAAATACATTAAAAATACAGAATAGTTTAAGTGAAGACGCACGTTGCTGAAGAACGTCTCGATCAGGTTTTGTGCAGCCTGGTACACCAGATCATTCTCGTGGCTCTGCAGCAGCTCCATTCGCTCCAGTCCACCCAGCTCTTCAATCAGCAGACTCAGTTTCTTTGTTTCCCCAAGCTTCCCTGCAGCCTTCAGGAGTGACAGTTATTATTAAAGCTTTGTTTCTGTTCATTACAACTTGTGTTCTTGTTACAGCTTCCTGCTCTCACCGTGAATATGTTGTTTATGGCTTCGAGGATGATTAAAATTACTTTGGCATCGTTAACCTGCAGCAGGTCTAATATCGCTTCCAGGGCTCCACTCTGCACCAACTGGACCACCTGCTCTGCAGTGCCCCCACAGGTGAAGTTTGTCACTGCCCACACGGCTTCCTTTTGAGTCTTGAAGTCTCCCTGACAAAAACCAAGTCTTGTGATTGGCTTGAGATTTTTGTTGAGCTATAAAAGCAACAAATCGTCAGCCTGCTTACATTCCTCAGCGCTTCCACAAGAGGAGGAAGCAGGCCACAGGTGATGAGCTGCTGGATTTGTTTACAGTGGCCTGCAGCGATGTTCGACAGAGTCCACATCGCTTCTTTCTGCAAGGTGGCCTTTTTGTGCCGCAGCAACTTCGGCAAGACATTGAGAACTCCTGCATCAATCGTCAGCTGAGTGTGCAGGTCTGAACCACTCACTATGTTCCCAATGGCACGGAGCGCCGGGGTCTGGAAGTTTAGTCAGATGAGCACAGAACATTAATTACTACAACAAACGAACATTAAGAAGGTGGTAGCTCACTGGGCTGTAAGGGGATTGTGAACAGCTTTAATGAAGTGTTTCATAAACTTTTGGGGCATTCAACTTCCTTGCATGAGTCACAGAAGCATGCAATCATGTTGCTTGACTTAAAAATAATGCACGGGCATATCTACCTCATTGAATCCATTAATAGTCAGTTGCAAGCAGATCTTCAGACATTTCATGGTTGGCTTCAAGATAATCTTTTGTCAATTAATGTTAAAAAATGTGTGCATGTATTTTTCCTCACCCAGGAGACATTTCAATATAACAAATCAACTCACTTCTTTAAACAAACCCCTTGATATCGTCACTACCTACAAATATCTTGGAATTACTTTGGATTCTCATTTGACTTATCGTGATCATGTACAAGTCTTAACCACTAAATTGAAACAGAAACTATACATTTATTCAAAAATTAGATCCAATCTGACATCTTCTGTTTCAAATATCTATCTTCATGCCATTATACTCTCAACCATGTCGTACTGTTTACCTGTTTGGTCTCTTACAACAAATGAAATCTTAGAACCCATAGTTAGGCTCTACAACAGGGCCTACAAAATTCATAAAGAACTTCCTGGTTAGACTCATCACTGTACAGTTCTTTCATTGTCTGATGCCTTGACTTTTTAGAATTATGTTTTGTATAGTGGTATTAATTTACGTTTTCAAATCTTCCAAGGTGTCAGTTATGGAACTCTCTGTGCATTGTTGCCCAAATCAAATTCTGGAGGTGGTCATTCAACTAGATCTGTTACAAAAGGACAACTGATATTACCAACTTTTAAAAACTGTTACGGCCAGAGGTCTTTCTTCTATGTTTATACTAAAGCATGGAATGACATTCCTCAAAACATAAAGTCAAAACTACAGCCCTTTAAGAAGAATCTWGTCTGCCATCTGCTGGACACTTTGTTGTGCTCATATTTAGACGTCCTATTTTCCAAATGCTGCCTTCCTGAAATTTGGTATGCTTGTTTGTCTTTGTGTCTATGGTGTATAATGATGTGATTGTGATGCTGTAATTCTGAGTGTTTTATGTGCTGCAGAACAGGAACCTGCTGTAAAACAGCAATTATGCTGAGTCAGGCTTGATTTTTAATAATCTTTTCCTGTTAAATCAAATCTGCAACCCATCTGAATTTTGCACCAGGTGCTTCCAACTCATGAGCTCTAGAGTTGCCCTTTCAACACCTGCAAACGAGCTTCGTTTGAAGATTATTATTATTATTTTGGAAATTGGATGATCAGTTGCCAACTTGGAACAGTCGCAGCTCAGCCAGATGCCACCTTCACCATGATGTGAAACTCCAGGTATCTGAAGTTGTTATGAGATTACAATACCACAACACGAAACTCTTCATGGCTCATGAGCTCCACCAGTCGAGGGAGAAGGCCAGTTTTTACGATGATGTCAATGCGATCGTTGCTGCCATCTGTCAGGTAAGAGATAGCCCAGCATGCGTCACACAAGATGTCCTTGTCACAGAGATGGAACAACTGGATTAAAGGAGGAAGCAGCTGAAAGAAACAAATGCAGCACTTTGAGTAGTTTGTACACCAACACTGCAGACTAAAAAAATGACCACTCACTTCACACACACACACCCCCATCCTTGTATTTGCATTAAACTGAGGACATTATATTGACTTCCATTCATTTTTGTAACAGCATTTATGCCTAACCCATTTTCCCCTAACGTTAATTACTGGTCTATTCCTAACCTAACTAAAAGCCTAATTCACACCGTACCTCTAAATCTAAATAGATATGGAAAAAAAACCACTGTTGGGCTTGAACCCCATGGGGACCTCACTTTTTTTAAAGACTTTATAGGCTAACCCTGACCGTTTGCCCTAAAATTAACCTCACAGGTACTTACCAGACCCTAAAACTAACATAAATAACCCCACACCTGTAATTTGCATTTGGACCCGTGCGGACCTGGCATTGGTCTCAAACGCGGCTACTTTTTTGGTAAAAAAATAAACATCATCATTATTATATAAAAAGAAATAATAACAATCACAATAATAATAACATGTTAGAGAAAAAAAAAAACATCCACACACACACAAGGACCGGGACAAGGTCCTTGGTCCTCACACTGTAGTAGAAGCGACACACCTGTTGGACTGCTGACAAAGGTGGATATGGGTTCTTGTTTCGGCACAGATTAGACAACGTCCAGGTCAGGTTGCGCAGGTAACCAACCTGCAATTATAGGCATGCAGTAGTTTCAACAAATTTGACAGTTTATTTTTTCTACAGCGTATGAGCACAAAAGAGGAAGGGACAAAACCCCTCAATGTCTCAAGCTGTGGCTAATTGAAACCTGTAGACAAAGACGAAAGTTGCCATGACACAAGACTGGATGTTTGAAATCATTACACCACTGATGTGAAATGAAGGCTGAATTTACTCCAGAATTACACGTCCTTACAAAATATCAGCTCTAAATAGAAAGTTTTTTTTAGCCTAGTCACTTCTGCTCAATATGTGGAAGTTATAGATAATTATCGCATTGTTAAAACCGATTATTATGGTAGCTATATTCATTCGGGTGAGGGTTAAGAGTATTTTCTGTGGACTGATACATTTATTATATTCAATAACTTGAATGTTATTTGGATTGGGAGGTATCCATATTTTCACTGGAGATTTTTAAAGCAATAGTTAAACACTTAGTAAATTGCAGATTGGCAATGTTTTCATGATGGTTTGAACATATTTATCATGCATCAGTGGATATTAAGATTTACCAGCTGGAAGAAAAAAAAATTGCCAACTCATCAGGAAAGTGACTCATTTAAGGTTTTCTGCTCAAGATTAAACTTTTTTTAGCTACCTACTGCTCAAAAAGTGTTTCATAAAAGATTATATTTCAGATATTTCATTATGACCCATTGATAACAAAAAGGGAGCCAGTAAATTTTAACAAAATGCTGGTGCAAATATTTTAACTAAAGCAATACCTCTGCCCGTTTCTCCACTCTGACGTGTCACAAACATTGATTTGGACTCATGTTCATGTGTTTTGATATTTAACCTTTAGTTTGTAACTTTGGTCATGTCATCTTGACACAGTCTCCATGATATTCTCAGGAGAACTTCCTGGATAAATGAGTAGTTTAGCAAAAATGTTTCTTAACGTTTGTCAAGTGCACAACTGAGCTGTATTGAGCAGAACTCGTAACTTACTGGTGTGTCTGGAGAGAAGTGAGCCAACAGTGCTGGGATGACATTGCATTCAATAAGAACATCTCGGTAAACTGGACCATCACCTGCAAAGAGTGGTGGTTCATGGCAGGAGAAATGTAGTCACAGATCTTCTGAACCTATGGCAATAATAATAATAATTTAGGGTTTTAACCTGCAATATTTCCCAAAGCCCAGACAGCCTGTTCACTGATGTGCAGCATGGGAGAGGCCAGCAGGTCGATGAAAGCTGGTACAGCCCCGTGTTCCACCACCTGAGGACAAACCAAAAACAAACATTTAGTGACTCAACGTTTCCTTTTCCACACAACACAGATAATACAATGTTTCAGGACAGACACCTGCTGGGTGCACCAAGAGGCTCCAGAGGCGATGTTGGTCAGAGCCCAGGCTGCTTCAAATTGCAGAGCCGGCTCATCATCCAGGGACAGGAAGGACACGAAACGGGCCAGCAGGCCAGCATCGATAATCTCCTTCATGGGAGGATCATGACATTTGGACAGCAGCTTCCTGAGGAGGTGGTCACATTAATCATACAACTCTCAATAACAAAAAGCAGAGGGACAGCTCAGTTTTTTTTTTCCTGACTCAGCATTTTTGAAACTCAGCAGCTCACCTGGCTGCCTGACAGCCTCGGGTCTGAGCCTCTATGCTGTCGCTGTTAACGTCCAGAACGATGTCCTCGAGCTTGTATCCCACCTGAAAAGACCCCCCCCCCCTCCAGCTGTGAGCGACAGTCCTAACCATGTTCCAGTTAGATAAGGTTTCAGTGGACTAACCAGGTCTTTATGAGGTGACAGCGCCTCCTCATCAGGGAGAGAGGACAGGGTTATGTTTCTTCTCTTCAGGAAACTGTCGTGTTTCTGAGCTTTACGCAGCTCCACGCACTCAGTGATCCTCTTCTCCCGACGTTTCTACAGTAATTAATGACACAGTTCAAAGTGGGAAAGCAAAAACAAAAATAAAACAAAATAAAATCATTAACAGCCTACTTACTGCTGGATCTTTTCCTTTGTTTTTGAACTTGGAGATGCGGTCACCAGATACGTCCTTGGTGGGCATGTTGGTTTGACGCAGACTGTTTGACCCAGATTAAAGTAAACTTCTTCTCTGTAAGGTTTTAACCAGCAGAACCACCACAGGTGAATCAAATCAGCTCTGATTGCTTTGATGACGTCACGCAGTTGAACACCTGCATTGGAGTAATGTTTTTTTTTAGAAAAATAAAGTTGGATTATTTTATCATTTGAATTCAACCAGATGTAACCCAATTCCCAACTATTTTTCTGATTCAGCCTTTTTTATAGTTTATACATGCTTTCAACTATTCCAGTTTCACCAGTATAATATTACATATTTTGTTTCCAGTATATAACTGGATCTAAATAGTTTGAATAAACTGGATTAATAATGTGAAGTTTTAACAAATAAGTAGCTTAAGTCATGGCTACTGATTGTTGTGTTAAAGATGGACTCAATGTTCAAGCTTTAATTATCTTGTCGTGTGTGTGTGTGTGTGTGTGTGTGTGTGTGTGTGTGTGTGTGTGTGTGTGTGTGTGTGTGTG